AGTCAGTTATAATTTACTTTCTCAGACTCTCACTGTGTCAGCCCGGCCCCTGTTTATTCAACTGTGAACACAGGCTGTGTGCCACTGCACCACAATTACTGCACTCTCATTTATTAGTGTCCTTTCAAGTTGTTTTTGCACGTTGTATCTGCAATGCTATTTGTTCTCATGTCACAATAAAAGTATAGATTCAAGTCATTGTTTTGTAATACAATGCCAGCTCCAAGCAACAAAGTAAGAGTTGTGTTTGTCATACTTGTGTAAATAGATGTGAATTTAATGAAAATGGTTGATTTGGTTATGACATGAATCTTGAGTGGAGGGCGTCCGCAGCATTAAATGATGTGTGTTTGTGCTTGTGCGTATCTGTCAACCTAGCTGCAGTGAAAATGGTGAAATGGGTGATTTAAAAAAAAAAAAAAAAAACTCCATCTTTGGATTGGGTGACAACAGCTCTGGAGGTTTGCATGTCATGCCTGTAAGATGCCAACATGGGCTGAAATAAAGTGACACTTAAGCTTGTGTGCATTTGAAATTTGGGACTAAGAGTTATTTAGAACCTAAATGTTTAATGCAGTTGAAGAACAAGACTCGGATACACTGAGCTCATACTCACACAAACTGCACCATGCACTTCAGTAGTGCCTCGATGGAGGACTTGACGTTTGCTTGCAAGTCGTAAACAATGCAGCACAATTGCATTACTGCTTATGGTGAGCGTAGATGTTACTGCATGCTCCTGGCTATCACAGACTAGGGAACTTCCAGTCTGCTCTCATCTAGAGCATCGGGCCAGCTATCATCATCTCAGGAATGTGGTCACTGGTGATAATTAAGCCATTTATTCCTCCAAATTGAATGCCAGAGTATTCAACCTGGAATTATGATGATGGATTATTTTAGGTTAACGTTTCAGACCTTCAACGTCAGGGAATGTGTTTGCTGCGGCGGTGGGATACTCATGAAATTGCGGCCTGTAGTTTAGAGGAAATCACTTAAATGGAGCATTGGGTAGGTGTACTGTTGGACCAGAAGCAGAGGATGACAGCTGGATATCATTGCTCACACAGCTAATGGATATTTGATGGCAACAATGCCCACTGAGAGATTCAGCAGTGGCTATGACCAACTTTCCCTGAGGCCACATTCACTGCAGTGCTTAGGCAGATGAATTGCTGCCCTGCACACAGTGTCCGAGCTGGTTTCAGGCCTCAAATGCAGTATGTGTGAACCACTGTTATGGTCCGTATTGTCTCTGCTGTAGTCCCCATTTGCAGTGATCACAGGAATTGAAACACACAAGAGTTTATGTGCCAGTCTACTGGCCCTAAAGTGAAAGTCATCTAGCATCTGACTGTCGCTGGACCCCGTCCATCCTTTAGTGAAATTATTAAGGTCAAACATGGTTGCAAGATTCAGTTTTCGAGTTGTATGTATTTATGACAATGTGATGGTTCTTCTCATTTGGGTTCCTGAAATGAAACTTATTTAAAATACAATATTATTACAATTATAACATAAATAGTACTGCACAGTCGCAATATTGCCTTTCTCCTCCGCAGTTTTGGGTTCAAATCCCACCTCCGCTCTTTTTCCCCATCCAGGTTGTGCTAATTGGTGCCTCTTAATTGCTGTAGTGTTTGGCTGAACCTGTGAGAGCGTATCCCAGCTGTGTTTCATTTTGCTGGCTGAGATGAGCTTCAGCCAGAACAAGCAGGATGGATTGTATGTCACTGAGGGCCAGTTCAGATCCAGTATGGAACTGGCTGTATGTGACTCAGTAGTGACAGAATGCTCTTGTACAGTAAATCCATCCATTTTTATATACCACTTACCCAGTTCATGGGAGGGCAGCCTAGGCACTATTTGAGGCAGCCCAGGTCACATGCCAGGGGTTTGCCCTATCCTAACTGCAGGAGGAAACGCACATGGCACATTTAGTGGAGGTGGGATTTGAACCCTTCGCCCTACGGATGAGACGGCACTGGTTAACCCTTGAGCCACCTCATTAACTGACAACTGCCTTTGCATCAATTGATGAAAACCTCAGAGTATCCCTTAAAGCAGTGTTTCTCAACTGGATTAGCCTGAGGAACACACATTTTTCTTTGGACATTAAGTCATGACCCAGATTTTTAAAATCTTAGGACCTTAATCTGTTCAACGTGCCAGAGGGATTGGTGCTAGCTGTTAAAAAAAAAAAAAAAAACTTTTTGTTTGTTTGTTTTTGATCACACACTACACTGAAAATGGTATTGTGACCACTTTTGGGACATGACCAGTTGTGAGACACGGTTTTAACGTATCTTTAAAATTAGAGAGATCACTCATAACAGACAGTTATCAGTAACACCTAAAGGGGCAGTCGGGTATTCACGCACGCGAGTGCAGTGGATGGCTTGTACCAATCGCAGCTTGATTAATCTGCAGTGTTTCGCTGTGGTGATCCAGTTTGTGAGAGAGTGTACGCATTGTTAATCCGCAGTGTTGATGAGTTCCACCACCCGCCTCCACTTCTAGCTGTCTGGTCCCCAGACCTCATCAAATGCCAGATCCCAGACTCTCTATTCACAGAGCAGAAATGCAGTCCATCTACAGTGGGCTGTCCGGTATGATTGTGCCTTGCTGATAATTCAGGATGATCCGGGAACTCGTTGAGGAGGGCTGGGCAAAGCCTTTGTACTTTTTGACTATAAATGGCCTTTTTGTTGGAATCCCTGCAGTGCAGTATTCTTTTGTGTTGTTCCATGTTGGTATTTTTTTCAAAAAATGTTGAGTGAGGTCACAGCTATAGAAATCAGAACATGTAAAGTCTTCCTCAGGAAACTGACTTGTATGGATTTGAAGAAAGGATTGTTCCTGAGTTTCTGGCCATAGTAGACACCTGGTGCATTGTGTACTGAATTTGGTCATTTTGGATACTGTCCCACTGTGTGTGTGTGTGTGTGAGTCTGTGTGTGTATATCAGGCAGTCCAGGGTTTTCCTGTCCCGATCTTTTGTAGGAGGCATAAGGAAGTGGTGATGATATTTGTGTGTTTTTGCTTTGAGTGCCGCTTGGGTGACTTTACATTGTAAATCTTGAAAAGAGACAAGCAAAATTGTGATTTTTACGTATTACTAATAGTTAACAGGTTGCTCAAAACCTTTTAAAACACTAAATTTATGCAGTCTTATGACCAATTCAATCATGGGTAGTCAATTTGTAAGCCAATTAAAACCAAAATACAAAAAATTCAAATTGGATTTCCCTACAGAACACTTGGGCTTTTAGCTTCTCAATTAAATCAGTCGGACGTGTTTGCTAACCATAGCCTTGCTTCAGTAATGCAAAACCATCAAATTTTTATTTACATAAGAAAGTATGTGGAAAGTAAATCCACAGTAGACTGGATAACTCTGTGCAGATTTGTCTAAATAAACATACTTATTTTTGCATTACACAGCATGACACAAAATGCTTATCTCTTAAAGAAGTATGAACCAATTACATATAACGGGTCTCATTATACATGAATCGAACGGGCAAGTGAAAGCAATTGATAACATACAAAACAATAATAAACTGCAAAACATTGTTAATGCTTTAGTTATAAAAAAAAAAACTATTAGGACACATTTGACTTTTCATACACTGTGGCTTTTTAAATTTCATACATTGATACATACACACAGTGAAATGACCTCCGGTTCTGTTGACAGTTGCGGAATCTCTATTCTGCATTGAATGTACAGTTATCAATTTTCTCCTTGTCTCCTCATGTTAGGTCCCCGTCTTGAACGCTCCTGTTTTTATCATACAGGTTTTCAGCAGGGGTCTGTGAATCATTGTGTAATGACAAACTGTTTCTTGAAATTTTATAAAATGTCTATAAATTTTTATATAAATTCCAACCAGTAATAAGGCAAACCACTGATAATCACTGTAAACTACTCTATGAAATGCGCTCGCTTGGTTGTCATCCATACTCTATTGTACAAGTGCCCCACGGGGACAATACAGAGGACTGTAATACAAGCTGAAAATGCACTGCGGTAATGAACACTCATGTACAATGCTACTAATGAGGTGTTATACAATATAATGTAGCAATACTGCAGTGTGTGTCCATTTTGTTTGTTGTATTTGTATGTTCATGTTAATATGTAACCTCCACTGCTATATAGACACTGTCTGTTTCGCTTAATTCGTTTTGATTTGTATCTTGTACTTTAAAAGGCTGTATTAAAACAAGAAAAGAAACACTATCTGCAGTCCATAGTGTTGACTAAGTTACCTGAATTGTATATACACACACCTTAAAAATCTATGAAGTGACATAGAAAGGTGTTGCAAAAAAATGTAACCTTTCTCTCAATAGTGTTTATAGTTTTTGCGTGGTAAGTGTCGAGACAAAGTAAATAAATTGGTTAATGGGGTCATGTTTATTCATTATGTTTATTCATTTATTCATAATTAAACAGATTAATATATTTAGCCAATGTCCACTAAGCTTGTTTGTAAGGACGGACAGGTTAACATGACACCATTCACAGAAGTTAGCCAGGCCAAATAATAACACCGTTCTGTAAGTGTAAAGAGGGGGCCCTTGCTTGAAGTGGTCCCAGTCTGAAAAAGGCTGAAAACCCAGTTCACATGCTTAAATAAGACCACGCTGGTACATCTTCAGTCTATTTCAAATGCTGTTACTAGACTGTTAACCTGCTCAATTAAGTGGTCTCATATTACCCTGATTTTATTGTCTCTTTATTGGCTCCCAGTAGAATTGACCAAGCCACGTGAATCATACACACCTTAAAAGAATTTAGAACTCATCGTATAAATTTAGTCCTCACTACTAAGCTCTGCATGATCAAACTCCTCAGTATATTTCGGATCATCTACCCGGACATACCACCAATCGATCACTTAGGTCAGCTCACCTGGGTCTTCTTATTGTTCCTCATACAGTACTAGCCTAAAGACACTTGGGGATCATGTCCTTCAGTCTGTTATGCCGAAATGGTGGAAGAGTCTTCGTCCTGTTTAGTGGGCAGTTGACACTATTGACACTTTCAGAAAACATCTGAAGATGCATTTGTCTAGTCTAGCCTGCGAGTAGCCATGTGCTCTGTTTGTTTCCAGTGTTTGCTTTTCATTGGACTATTCGTTTGTTTTTAATCTTGTGTTTGTATCTCTTTTAATGTTTTCTTATGTACAGTGATTTGTGACACTGTCTGTGAAAGGCACTTTACAAATAGTTTTTTCACTTTTAAATACTCTATTCTGTTTTCATGGGTATTGCAAAAACCCAAAAGAGAATTAATTACACCCAAATAATTCAGGAAGCTTGACTAATAGATTTTTTTCACATTTGTGCTGAGATTCTACCTTTCCTGAGACTGAGACTTACTGGTGAACAGTTGGTTTTGTTTAGAAACTCTTGCATGAGTTCAGATACTGTGTACACAGTAAACTTCATAATGAGCAGGTTCTTCGAGGTCAGATCACACCTTTTCCCAAATACTACGTGATGACCTTGGTTTACCTTTTGTGGTTGAGAGTTGACTTGAACGAGATGATTCACAGTTCTTGAACGAATAATACAACCAGCATATATTGTAATGTAGTATTTGTATTATGTTTGCTTAGCAGATGCTTTTTCTCCAAAGAGACTTACAACCAACTGAGAAAGTAGCAGTTAGGGATGAGGGTCTTTGCTCAAGGCCCGAAAGGTGAAATTGCTCTGACGACCCTCGGATTTGAACCAGTGACCTTCCTATGCCACACACTATAATTCCTAACCTGCAGAGCCATACAATGCATCTGTCTTTGGGAGACCAGCTTAGTCGTACAGGATATTTCCTTGAATAGCAGATCAAATCCAAACTCATATGATTCCATCATACATCACTTGGCATCTGCTCTGCAGCCCCAATTAACCTCTAGCTCCAGAACCAGCTCATCCATCCCAGAGGCTGAGCTCCTGGAGACCATATCAGTGGATCAGATCATCACACCAGCTCCCTTTGCTGCCTGGATGAAAAGCCCCACACCCACCAAATAGAACTGATTTATAAATATCTCCTTCAAAGTCCATGAAGAAGGGAGCCGGGAGTTTGTGGACAGCCAGGACAGGGGCTGTTTGGATGTTGAAGAGCAAATGCGTTTCAAGTTCTTGTTATCGGCGCGCTGAGATCGCAGACAGGCAGCGGTGCCGCATGAGTTGCCGCATGAGTTGCGAGATCGATGTTCTGATTAGGCTGCCAGCTTCAAGGTGCGAGAAGGAAGTCTGATCTCTCGCTGCCATGACATTCATCTCTCCCCCCACCCCCCCCCCCCCAAGATCATCAGACTTTGGAGGATATAGAAATTACTCCATCAAATGAGTTGAGAACTTGCATTTCATCCAACCTGTACTTCTGCACCCCTCTGAT